GCACTTATCCAGATTAAAATATTTCAGTTCAGGTGCTTTATGTGTCTACAAAATGTTCATATTTTTTATCACGATGACCTTTTTTGATCTTCGTAACTTGTTTGTCCATGAAAATGTGAGAATGCTGCCTTTATAAACACCATTCTTTTGATGCTTCAGGAGAAACATGCCTAGTTACTTGAAATACCGTTATATCGAATTTCAATTACTTCAAGACAGCAAAATCGTTTTGAATATCAACTTTTTCTGAAGCATTAACAATATATCATGAGTGGACCCAGATTGGTCCCTTGCGTGACACCATGTCAATATCGATTTCATTTGTAGCTATAGTCTATTGTCTCTATCTGCTTGCCATTTTAATTCATTTCACTTCACTCATATATTTTTCAAAAGCTGGTGGTATTATGCAAAATGCGTCAAGTCAGAGGATTATACGTTTAGAATTGAAAGGGAATATTCTACGATAAATTAGGAACATGAAAAAATGCATATAAAGAAATACATTGACAATTCGCATTCGCTATGTGATGAAAATATAAGTTCTTTCTCGGTTTATTCAACAGAAAACAACTACCTTCCTGGCCATATGCCACGACGAACATTGAATTATATCATGAATTATATATTGAACACACACGATGAGAATTTGCATTCTCCTTTATATAAAAATAGGTATATATGTGCACATAATATCATTCTGAATATTCAACAGAAAACAACTACTTTCCTGGATATTTGCCACATCGAACATTGAATTATATCTGTTGAACATCCAAAACGAGAGCATGAAAAATAAAAATCCTCTGAAGTTGAGAATTGACATTCTCTCTCAAATCGGATTAATAATATTATGTATTATGATTTAAAAATATAACTACCAATATGTTCAGTATTGAAATGAAACTTGAAATGTTCAGAAGAAGTATACTTAAATCATAATACATATTATTATCCGATTTGAGAGAGAATGCGCTAAAAGAAATTTAAAAAAAGTATTCACTTATATGATACTGCATCGGCTCTGCGAGCACATAGGAAAGACAAATATTTGTTGATCCTTTAAGGTGTCATTTCAGGTAAAGAATTCCAAGGGGAGAATTAAAAATTCTTCTAAAAGTTTCAATTTCAACTGATGTAAGGTAAGAGTAGTTGATTGCTGTGATCTCAGCGAAGCAGAATTTGTAGTGACGAATTATGTAGGAACCTACTACCAAAAAAGGAACAATCAAACAGAAGAAATGATGCGACCATAATATGTCTCATAAAGCGAGTTGTTTTTTTTTCTTTCAAACTTTATTTAAAATATCATATTCTACAGTTGTTTTATTTTATGTCTGTATTCTGTCGTATTGAATTTCGCATATATTTTCGACGTTATTCTTATATTATTATTTGTTTTTCTCTAACCACTAAGCTTCAAGACAAATACGACTTAGCTATTGAAATAATCATATCTTATGTTGAAAACGGGAGCAGAATCGGTCCCGAAACGTCCAAAGATAAGTGAAAATTTTATATTTTTTCTATATACCTTTATTTCTCTTCTCAAAACTTTTTTCAATACAAATTGTCACTGACAAGCTAGTGAATTTTTCTTTTAGGCTCTCTGATAGGAAAGTTATTTAAACGCAGTGACATTTTGGGGCAAATCATCTGATTTGTCCTTACTACACGTATATTGAAATAATATTCATATTTTTATTTTATAGAAACGAGAAGAGAAAATCCCAAAAAATTAGCAATAATGAATGTACCACCTCCTCGATTAACCTACAGACAGTATTAAAACATATACAATATTATAATAAGAGTCACATGTGAGAGCTCCTATAAAGCCATAGTCAAATATTTATAGGGTATACGTTGTATAAAACGATCCTTTTAAGAACTAATCAAAAAAACGGTTAAGGGACTCTGTGAAAAATATTCCTCGAGGTTGTATAGTGGAGTCTGAACGAGCAATATTTTCACCTTGGTCCTGAATTTTTCGTTACACGGAATTTCTTCGATATGATTTGGCAAATGATTGATTATCTTTATTCCATTATAAATATTGGAGTCTTTGATCATAGTGGTACGGAGTCTTATCAATTCAACTTGTCCGTTCTGTCTTGTGTTGAAATGTGATGAAACAAGCTCTAAAGATGCTATGTTTTTTGGTATCAGAGCCGTTGTTTCCAAGATGTATAAGCCAACTACTGTCAGGATGCCGCAATTCTTATATATGTATAATAATAAATGTCTACATGAGTCCCTTGATTTCGCCCCACACATATATCTACGGGCCCGTTTTTGTAAGATAAAACTCCTCTAGAATAGCTGATCACTGCAGACTCCCCAGAATGCAATTCCATATCTCAATTGAGATTCGATGAGGGCAAAGTATGCAGCTCTAGGCTCTAGACACAAATCCTAATTCTGCAGCAATAGTTCTAACAGCGAAGCATCCAGAGGCTAATTTTCTACACATACAGGGTGGCTGGAATTCGAGGCTCATCATTGGGATCTCGTAAACCGTAAGAGATACAGGGTCGGTTAAATAATGGCAAAGTTGCGCAATTTTATGCTGATCAAAATGCCGCCTCAAAAGTTAGGAAATTCCGAATACTCCCGAATATATTTGAAAAAAAAAACGAATATCCGCGATTTCGTTTTTATTTTTTTCTGACTTTATTTGAAGTGATATGTCAAAATGAGTTTCATATTATCATTGCCACTTTTTCTGATCTATCCAATGGCATTCATAGATTCGTGTTCCGACGTTTCGTCTTCGAGGAGCCATCATCAACTTTGTTTTTTTAAATTGTCGAAAATAATTTTTTTGTTCCTAAAAAACTCTTATTCCAATTATGAATCCAACGACATATAACACTTTTCAATTATCTCACGTTTCGGACCAAAAAATCATTATCAGTGTTATTTGTTGATGGTTACGAGGAAACGAAACGTCGGATCAAAAATCTGATGATGGCAACTTGTAGAGAAAGAAAAATGGATATAAAAATGTCAAATTCATTTTGGTCTACCTCTTATAATAAAATCAGAAAAAGATAATTTCTTATAATTAGAAACTTGGAGAATAACTTTTTATTGAAATCTAAAATAGAGATAGACCGAGAGATAGATCAACATGAATTTGACATTTTCGCAGTCATTTTTTCTTCTCTACTAGACGCCGTCATCAGATTTTGTTCGGGCGTTTCGTTTCCTCGTAACCATCATCAAACAACAATGATAATGATTTTTTGGTCGGGAACGTAGGATAATTGCAAAGTTTCATATGTCGTTTGATTCAGAATTAGAATTAGAGTTTTTTAGGAACGACAAAAACAAAGTTGATGATGGCTCCTCGAAGACGAAACGTCGGATCATGAATCTGTTAATGCCATTGGATAGAGCAGAAAAAGTGACAATGCTAATATGATATTCATTTTGACATATCACTCCAAATAGAGTCAGAAAAAAATAAAAACGAAATCGCGGTTATTCGTTTTTTTTTTTTTCAAATATCTTCGGAAGTTCGGGTCGGTGGCTCGGTGGTCGAGAGCGATAAGGCGCTGAGTTCGTATGGAGACTCCCACCGAGACCTAGGTTCGAATCGTAGTTAGGTCATGAATGTTTGTGTTTGTATGTATACCTAACTCCGCACAAGTTTCGACTTATGGGGCGTTTGGTCCCAGTGCTGGGACTAACGAGGTATGCGATTGCGAAAAAAAAAGTATTCGTAATTTGCAAACTTTTGGGGCGGCATTTTGATCAGCATCAAATTGCGCATCTTTGCCTTGATTTAACGGACCCTGTATCTCTTACGGTTTACGAGATCTCGAATTCCAGCCACCTATCCTCCCTAGGAACGCACGATGTTCTTTGAACATTATAGGGATTCCCTTTCGTGCGCTCCAAGCGATAAAAAAAAAAAAAAAAATATTAATGCCACAAGTGATTATATTTTGCCGGAAATATTCGGTGATTGTTACGACAGCTTGTTGCCTAGTAATTTCGTGAATGACATTGTTATCAAAACTACGAGCCGTAGGCGAGTAGTTTTGGATCAATGTCATGAGCGAAAATTAGAGCAGCAAGCTGGAGTATGTCAATCAACGAATATTTCCAGGAAAAATAGTATCACGAGTTGTATTCGTATGACTATTTCATTATTAAATGAGACAATATATAATATATAGGAAACATAATTCAAGTAAATTCCAACTCAAACTGCGAAGGAGAACATAATGATAGTAATGAAATACAGAATTCATTTTTTTTTAAATTAACTACCTACTTATATAGTTATTCACAAAGTGGAATGTACAATTTTGATAAACAGTATTTTTTTATTATCTTGGAGATGGTTGCTCTCAAAAAAGTATACAATTGCTATCGAATTCAAACAAAATAAATTGAATTTATGTGACATGAAATAATTTAAAAAAAAGATATCGTCGCCGAGGGGCTCGAACCATTGACCTTCGTATCTTCGCGCAACAACCCTATCAGTTGCGCTACATCATCTGGTAGTTATATTAGTTAAAAAACTTGAGTGATTGAAGAAGATTACTTTGAAAAGGAATTTGAATTTTAGTATTGTGTCAGACCGTCAACAAATATGCAAAGTCTTCAAATTACACATAAAACGTCCAGCCAGAATAAAATTGTCTCGCCTTTCGTACAAAATGTCTCACTAACGCGAATTATAAGTAAATAAAATAAAGTAGGTGCCTAGGTTATTGTCTCAGATTTGAATCCAAAGCAATCTTGACCAGACACGATGTCAAAATTTTATCGCTGATAAACGAGGTTTGTTGGTCACGTGTGGGTCAATTCGGCTTCTGTATTGGTAGAGCAAGTCCGATAAAATTTAATAAACAAAAAATACCGCTAGAATACAGAAGAAACCGTGAAAATGCTCGATTCTGATTGGTTCTCGAGATCAAGAGTGGAATAGTCAATGTATAAACCTAAAAACTTGGTCGATGACTTATTTTCTATTTTTTCAGGCACACGATGACTCGTCCTCCTACCCGACGCCTCCCACCTACATGGACCCGAGCGCCGTCAACTCCAACGTCACCGTCAAGGCCGCCTACGACTATGCGGCGGTGCGCGACGACGAGCTGTCCTTCTGCAAGCACGCCATCATCACCAACGTGACCAAGAACACGGAGTCGCCGGGGTGGTGGCGCGGCGACTACGGCGGCATGCGGCAGCGCTACTTCCCGCTGAACTACGTCAAAGAGATCGAGCAGGCGGAGACGCAGGACGGAGACGATTCGGTGAGTATAAGGACAGGGACGAACCGATAAAAAATTTAGGGAGGGGGTGGGCAGTAGGTGAATTTTTTCAACTCATTTTTGAATTTTCTGATTTTCGTTTTGGACAAATGATAAATGAAAGAGGACGCGCACTGATTCGACTCGGCTCGGTCGACTGGGCTCGGAACGGTCGGCACAGCAGCTTATACCGCGCACTGAATCGGCACATTTAGTTTGTCTTTAGCAGCCGTCTACACACATGTAGTTTGTCTATGGTACGAATCAATTCAAACACAAGTGAAAATTTATTCATCTGAATCTTAGGATGATATTTTGATTGCCTTAGCAAATGAAGAAATAGAAAAACGGAAATTTAGGTTCTGATCCATAACACCAATCTCAAAACAGGAAAATTATACGAATGTTGTCGTGATAGTAAGTATTTTAGGGATCATACAATATGATATATCCGCCATAACTTTGAATTCGCAGCTTCGTTCATACACTTCTTTGCCTCAAAAACCGTACAAGCACTGAGAGCAATCGGCGAAATCGGCAGTTTTTGCCCCATCTACCATTCTCTGCCGATGCCAAGACGATCTGGCCGGTCTAAAGGCCTGGTTTCTCTGACCAGATCGGCCCGAAATATTTCGGCGAATTTCAGCGTACAGAACGTGGATATTCGCCGGATTCAGTTTGTTCAGAAGTTTCGTCTATGTGTGTTTCGTCTGAAGAAAATTTTCGTAAATTTTCGTTCCGATATATTTCAGTCTTCTCGTAGGGTGTTTGCGGCAAAGTCAAAATAAAAAATGGATTTTTTTATTGCTATGGTTTCAGAAGAAGAACATGATGACGATGATGAGTATGCGTTATTAGAAGTATGTACTAAAAATAATAAAGTTTTGAACATGTTTGAGAACACGGCCAAAGAAGGTGCTTATGAGTTGTTAGTGTTGAAGCATCTTTCGGATAATGATACAAAATTCAAAGAATTTTTCCGTTCAACTTCATCACTATTCCATGATCTACTGAATCATATAAAGGTTGAAATCAGTTCGCTACCTACAAATATGCATCCGATTCCAATTTCTAGCAAGGAAAAGTCATGTGTCACACTGTCACATTAAGGTGAGTATATGCATAGTTTTCATGTCAAAAATAGGAAAATCTAAAAAGTAATATTTCATTTTTGGATACACTACACTATTTCGGCGAACTGTGCCGTTTTGAAATCGTTCAAATCAAACACTGGTTGATTCCGACGAACTGCTTATCCGTTCACTTTTCCGAAATTTCGGGAATACTGGGATAGAAGAAATTTCATTTTCAATGAGCTACGAGTCGGAAGTTCAGAGTACGCAGTTGGAAGTCCTGGATTGTACAGATTAACCTGTAAAATTTCATTTTCCGAATTGAAACTTGAAATTTCCAAATCAAAATTCGGAATTTAATTTTTTCGACTTCAAGCTTTAAATTCTCTACTCATCAGTTGGAAAGTTCGAGTTTGCAGTTGACAGCTCCTAGTTTGAAGTACGAAATCCCCAATTCCCAGAAAATGCAAATATTTAATATGAAATGTTTTTTTTTTTGTAAACCTTTCCCAAACTCTATATGCCAACTTGCCTAAGATTGGAGGGGGTAGACTCATCTTTATTATTCCCAAGAAACATATATGTTTATAGCAGGGAAAATTATGGAAGAGCAACTAAAAAAAATTACATAATCAGATAATCATTTTTGAATCATATACATAGTACATATAATGTTGTTTCTTCTAGAGACTGTTGAATATAAGTTCTTCAATTGATTTAGGATGATATAAGAGAATCAAAGATATAAGTATTTTTTCGTTTCTTTTTTGAATTTCTCAACATTCACTGTGTGAGTAGGTACCTACCAAATTGATCACGTGTTTTGGTCAATGTAGCCGCTACTATATTTCACTTTTCATCTAGCACACATTGTGGTTCTTGTATCTTCAATCCCACTGAAGTGATCTTAAATGCACTTTTGTTTTCAATTTGTTGATATCCCTTGTTTAACATTATATTTGCTGCAACCTACGTTGACTGTTCGTCTATCGATACTCTCTTTCAATGATTAGAAAATAAATAAACACTGTCCCGCACATATCTCCGATCGGTAGCTCCTTCATATAAACACGTTTTATTTCATTACTTCGCTAGTATCGCATCTTTTGTCATCTATCACTGCTATTATGTATTTTCAGTCTGGAGAATCAATGTTACAAGGGTGTCTAGACATGAACGGAGTGGTAGCAGATTATATCAGAAAGCCAGGGCAGAGCATGGAGTGGATAGTCCGAATAGTTCCTTCAACAGCATGCACTGCTTTCGAGTGTGGAGTTCAATCAGAAGAACTGGTAAAGTTCATAGTTTTTTTTAATCTTCAGGATCTCCTGGTGACATAACTGTATTTTTTTCAATCATCGAGATGATTATTTGTGAAATTCACAGGAATTGCCTCTTTCTTAATGAGAGTTTATGAACTAAATATACATTTTTCATGACTTCCTGTTTGATCGGAAGGTGGCCCGAACTTTGCCATTTGAAAATTCCCTCCCAATTATTTGAATGACAGTTTGATTGTATTTTATTGAAAATATCAAGATGGCTGTGACACAATTCTGAATACTTAGTTTCGATTATTACAAATTTGTTCAAAACTGATCAATCTCTGTTGGTATTTTTTTCTTAGTAGAATCAAACAATATCTCACAGTAATGAAGGAGCATTCATAGGTATAATTTTTTTTCCATTCAGTTGATTATAAAAAAAACTAAATGAAGGATTTCATAGCCTACTAAGCATCAGAAGACCATATAATTTGATTCAGAGTCGCATTGAAGCAATTCAATAATATACAATTTAACTGTTGATCAGAAAACAAGTGCTATCTTGTAATACATGATTGATTATGAAGAATTTCAAGACCACAAAGATAGTGTGATATAATTCACAAAGCTGGATTCAAATAGAGAGTTGTGAATGATTTTTAGTATGGTTGGAATATGCGCTATAATTGCTTTGGTAAGTACCTTCTTTAAATTTCGAAATTTAATCTCAATGAATGAAGAAAATAAAGGCGGTGACTTGTCTCCTGTGTCACTCGGTATATCCACTGTGACAATGACTCAAATAACAAATTGCGTTTTTCTGCAACCGACACAAAAGTCGTCCATTTTAATACCAAAATTACCTCTTGACCACAGACACAAACATAAGTATGTTGATAGGCAACACCTTCAGTTCCTAGGAGGTTAAAAGGATGTACTAGAGGTCATCAAGAATAAACAACATTGTTATGGTTGCGTATGTGGGTTGTGACGCATACCTGATTTGTTTCCGATTTCGGCAGATTTGCCATTTCATACCAATGCTGGAGTAAATACTACACCATATTATAGTTGAGTATTTTTGTTTTAATCAGGAAAGCCTTCAAGAATCACATTCTTGCTTGATCTGTAATTTATTCGTTATTCTCGGGATTGATAACTTGTTTTTGAATAATCACGGCCAGCAATAGTTGTTTGACTCACACAACGATATTGTTTACCTCCATTTGATTACTGAGCCAAATACAGTGGAGGATGGAGAGAAATAAATATTCGCTATTATCATTGTTTATATATTATATGCTCACTAACCTAAAAGTTTCCACGTCTTGCGGTATTTGGTATTAGGGTTGACACCTGGTCTATACACAAATATGTCACTCTGTGGTTGTATTTATATTGAAACTACGATTCGAACATCCTTGAAAATTGAATAAACCTGATATGTTAATCCAGGTAGGAGATTCTCACCACACGGATCATTTGTTGCAGTACATCGTATGACACGGCATTGGTGGTTACTTCACATATTTATTTCAGTTCATTCTTTCGGTTGCAGAAAAAATAGCATGTTTCATTCGGATCAAAAGTGACTTTATTTGACTCGCCAATGCAAAATTAGCTTGTCAAACAAAGTGTCACTTTTGATCCTAATAAAACAATCTACTATTTCTAGGCGCAGGAATGGTGCTCCGCCATTTTGCAGGTCACCCAAACGGTGTGCCGCTTGGAAACGATACATAGAGAGCGGGAAAGAGAGTTCAAAATAGCCAAGGAAATATCGAACCTCATAATTTATTGTCAATCGACGACTTTCAACTTGGAGAAAGCCAAACAAGAACTAGTCTTCTACGAAATGTCTTCCTTTCCAGAAAATAAAGCCGAGAAACTCATATGCCAACAAGAGAGAAAGTTTTTCCTAAGGTATTTCAATATGTTCTCTAAGTATTGTGCATTTGGTAATACTAATTTAACCAACTAGTGTATTAATCGCCTTTTTAATAAAAGAGTTGGTTATAACATTTTCAGTCTCACCAGTTGGCGTTACTAAAACTGCTAGAACGTGAGGTGAATGTCAAAGTCTAAAATCCAAAAATATTGCCGGATAGCCCTAAAGGCTGTACACTGTTTCATCTAAAATATTCTGAAAAAATTATTGGGTCTATTTGAACAAATACAAAAACCCAAGTAAGTTGAAGTTTTTTATCTCTCAATGTGGAACTGTACGACCAATTCTTGCATTGAAAGAGAAGAAGATATCGTAGGAAGAGGCCAAACACGAGAAGAAGAAGTATATTTGTCAGTTCTACCAACTCTGACCTCACGTCTCAGTAGCACGATCTGGTGGAGAATGAAATATTGTCAGCCCTCGTTCATTATTCATCCGGAAACTGTAAAGAATGATCCAGTTGTGATACATTTGACATTTGTCGAAATTATCAACATGGAAAAATTTTGCTGTAAATTTGTTGCTCTTTAAATGAGGTAAAACTTGATTATAATTATATACTGTTACCGTTTAACATGGCTAAACCGTAGAAAGCTTGAAGACTCCTTGAATAAGAGATGCAAAACCTATTTTACTGATATAAACCTTTTTGCCACTTGATAACACCCATGGTTCAAGCATATTTTTTATTATTGAATATAATGATTTATCACAAAGTTCTCACAGATTCAAAAAATGAAATCCTAGAAATTAATGGACGTGATTCAAATATGAGCGACGGTTTCTTCGGTATTTTCTCTTTTGTTTCCTGGGTTCTCTATAAGCAGGCCACCAAGAAAAAATCTCGATACGAGCATTTCAAGATATATCAGCCGCAGACCTACTTGATTTGAAGAATTCGGACAAACCACAAAGGACTGAAACGGCAAAAGCATCTACTTCATCGTATTATCCACAAATTTGTTTGACAGGTTTCAATGAATTCATTTTGTACGGAAATATAATAGTTTCAACTTTTTGTACTACAAAGTCTTTATGTTTTCAATTTTGCTCAAACCAAGATTCACATGGTTTTCTCCAGGGGCCACTCTCTACATTCCCCATTTCAAATGTACGGCAGCGTGATGCATTTGTGAAAGACACGCACTGATAGAGTATAATATCTGTCTCTCACACATGATAGACGAAGCACCCTGGGAAAGTTCAATGTCGCTCAAATATTTATGAGAAGATATTGTAGGAAGAGGCCAAATGACACGAGAAGAGGAAGAAGTATATTTATCAGTTCTACCAACTCTGACCTCACGTCTCAGTAGCGCGATCTGGTGGAGAATGATTTATTGTTAGCCCTCATTCATTATTCATCCAGAAACTGTCAAACATCATCCAGTAGTGATACATTTGACATTTGTCGAAATTATTAACATGGAAAATAAATTCCTTTTGTGTAAGAAAACGGATTAAAATTGGTTGAGAAACGTTCAAAAGTTCGATGACAAATATAGACAAAACGTGGTTAGTATAAGGAAAAATTTTGGTTGCCGACTGATTGTGACCATTTGGAGCACACTTAGACTACACAGGGTTTTTGACTGCATATAGTCGATGCGATTCAAGGATATAAATATTAGATGAAGCACCCTGGGAAAGTTCAATGTCGCTCAAATATGAGAGACATGGCACGCAATGTGTTGAAGTTGGCTATGGAACAGTATAAAACAGTGAAAATGAAAGAAATCTACACAATTGAACGAAACCGTAACCGTCAAATCCGCGCACAGGTACCACCAAGTACAGTTCTCCCGGGTGTACCCCAAGGGTCAGCGCTTCGACTCATCCAACTACAGCCCTGTCAACCTGTGGAACTGCGGCTCGCAGATGCTGGCCCTCAACTTCCAGACGGGCGACAAGCCGATGCAGCTCAACCAGGCCAAGTTCCGGGACAACGGCAACACCGGGTACCTGTTGAAGCCGGACTTCATGCTGCGCGATAATTTTGATCCGTTCGACAGGGGCAGTTTGGGCTCGGAGGAGGAAATGAAGATTTCTGTTAGGATCATTGCTGGGAGGCATCTTTGCAGGTCCAAGAAAGGGACTGCGAGTCCGTTTGTCGAGGTTAGAATCAATCAATCAATCTTCATCTCAATTTTATATACAGGGTGTTAAGGGTGTTTCCGAAATTGAAAGAAGACGAAAAAACAAAACGAAATTAAATACATTTTTGAGTTTTAGCCTAGTGGCCCAACTTTTGAGAAACACTGATCAGACGCGGCGCCGTTAGATTGTCTTTGTAGAGGTCACCGACCGCCGTCGACTCGTCATGGTCAATTAGGCTATTGAATCACCTGCATTAAAGCATTATATAGAAAGAGGAGGAGGATATGATACAAACTATAAATTTTATTTCTCCTTTTTAAATTTCCTCATCTGAATTTATAGAAAAAGGCAAATAATGAGACGCTAATGCGTCAGAGAGGTTGAAAATCTTTGAGACTTACGGGTCGCCTAATGTCCGGCTACGAAATTGTTGCGTCCCTTCCAGTTACGCGAGGTCGAACGATATGCTCAAGCGCATGCGAGTCCATTATCTATCAATCGGGGTTTGGGGAATCACTCAAAATTACGCCGAAAATAGTGTCTATAAGTCATATTACCTGTTTGTGAGAGATATAATGGGGGAGACCACTGATTTTTTGAAACGACATTATTGATTGATTGTCTTTATTACCCCAAGAAACATTTCGTGAACTCTTTACTGAAAAACTACCAGTGAATTAATTTTGAATTTTTTCATTCATGCTAAGATGATGAAAAAAATAAATTAGAATATGTCCATTTCTAAACACACAATTCCTGCGCCATTTGAAATTTTGTCAATTCATTGGTGAGACTGGCGCGACGTCTTAGTCCCAACACGCCTATTGTCCTTGAACTCACCAATCACACTGCAACACTTCAGAATGACGAGGTATCAGAGAAAGATAGCTACAGTGCGGGACTAATACGTCACAGCTCCACCATCATATTTGGCTTTTCGAAATAACGAATGAAATATGCTGATTTCAAAACGATATAGATTCGATTCCCTTCAACTTCAACTCATAATATCGATTGTAGATCAAACGTAAATCATGATTCGTCGATTGAAAGAGGTTTGCACGGATTTCTTTCCTCAGTGGTCTTCCCCATTCCCATATCACTGATAGCCAAGATTATCAAGATCAGAGTTTATACAAGTATACTTTTCCTACACATTTCAATTTTCATTTCAATACTGATATTGGTAAGTCATATTTTTATATCATAATACATGATATTATTTTATCCAATTTGAGAGAGAATGTCAACTCTCAATTTCAGAGAATTTTCATTTCTCATGCTCTCCTTTTGGATGTTCAACAGATATAATGCAATGTTCGACGTGGCAATTAGCCACGAAAGTAGTTGTTTTCTGTTGAATATTAAGAATGATATTATGTGCATATACATATTTTCATCTGGAGGATGATGCAAATTCTCAACTTCAGAAGATTTTGTTTTCAGATTCTTATCGTGTGTGTTCAATAGTTATAATTCAATGTTCGTCGTGGCACATAGCCAGAAAAGTAGTTGTTTTCTGTTGAATAAACCGAGAAAGAATTGATATTTTCATCGGTGCTGCAACTAAACACACATATCAATTATCGACCTTCAAAAAAATTCAAAATGAATATCATAATATGAGGCGGTACATGGATGTTGATTCTGAAAAATACCGTAACTGGAGTGCAACATTTCCGCTTTCTTTTCAAATTGTGGTTTTCTTAGTAGCCATCATCCACCCTCCCACATTTCCACATTACGTGGCTAATAATAAAAACCTGGAATGCCAAATAATGTGCTGCTCGGATCTAAAACAAGCATCAATTTGAAATTTGAATCGTGAGACGTACATGGAATTCAAATCTCGAACATGCCTGATTCGTAACTGGTACGCGATATATTTTTGTAATTCATCAATTCATCAACTATCTCAATGAAGACGAGGCAGGCAGATAAGCAAGAATTTACTCTGCAATGATAAACACTGTAAATGCCTAACCCATCAGACGCCTACCTCCTTTGCAGAGAGGGTTTATAAACGCCAAGTTGGTACTCTCCCCTCGTAAGGGTACCTTTCGTGTTTCCATAGAGACATAAAGGTGAATATCTGTCTATCTATTTGCTTGAGAATCTGGAAAGGATATCAATATGTCGCCTTCCGAACGAATATGAGGATCTGAATGTAGGAAAAGTATACTCTGGTCAGTTTTCTTTCCGGATCAACCTAACTTCACAACAGATTTCAGATAATCTCCAAACAAGAACTCTTCTGGTGCTGAATAAACTGAAGTGCATTCATAGTTTTCAATGTCTAGTCATTTTCAATTTTTTATACACTACATTTGGGAGATACCTTTATTGGACTCTGTCATTGCTTGTAGTAGTTTTGGAACCTCGTATAAAATGGCCTAGTGAAGAGGTCCTAGCAAATATGCAAACATGTTTCAAAAAATTTCAGAACACCAGGGTTGTCCTGGACTCCACTGAATGTTACTCTCGTCATTCATAAAACAATATTCTCACAGATGTGATGTCAACATTGCATAAACTAATGTCAGTTCTATTCTTTTATTTTTGATTGGCTAGGTCGAGGTCATCGGTGCCCCTTTCGATTCGGGAATGAAACTCGAAACGAAGCATACGGTCGAGAACGGCTTCAATCCCAAGTGGAACGAAGAGATCAGCGAATTCGTCGTCGCCAATCCGCACTTCGCTTTGTTGAGATTCGTCGTGCAGGACGAGGATGTGTTTGGAGAGCCGAATTTCATCGGTCAAGCTACTTACCCGGTAAGTTTAGGTAGTTAGTCATAGTCATAGTCATATTTATTAATCCATTCGATCACAAGAGTTCATGATATAGGACAAGTCGACATTTTACGATAGGAACAAACATAACATCACTTAACAGATAACATAAATAAGCTGTCTCTTGAACAGTTTTTCATTTCCCGACTTCCTGAGACCCTCTGGTAGAACATTATACAACCCAAGCCCTAAGACGTCTGTAGCCCTCTTTGTTAGGTTCAGATGAGCAAATGGGGTATGAAATTTACTTTTATTATGAGTGTGGTAATCATGAAAATCTCAATTTTTAGTGAATTCAATTTCATGCTTCTGCACATAAGCTAGTATTTCAAGAATATATAGACCTGCAAGAGGTAGAATCTTATATTTTTTAAAAAGGGGTCTGCATGACTGTGTAGGTGACGCTCCATCACTGCATCTGATAATTCGTTTTTGCACTTTGAATACATTTTGTGAATATGAAGTGCCACCCCATATTGTTATACCATAAATGAGTCTAGACTGCACTTCTCCAAAATAAAATGATAAAAGGTTCTTTGTGTTCAACACTGTTATCAAAGTTCTGATTTCATAGCATTTTTTATTAAAAAAGCTTGCCAGGTCAGTACAGTGAGATTTAAATTCTAGGGTTGATACCCAGAAATACCGTTTTGTCTTTTCGTTCTATTTCCTCTTCTGGAATTGAAATTTTAATATTAGTTGAGTGTTGGTTTTTTAGATTGCAGTTATACGCACAGAACTCAAAGACCACGGGGTGTTTCCTTAAGAATGGGAAATCTCTGAATTACAAATAGTATACACCCGAATAACCATTGCCCTGTAGGTATATCAATTTCCAAGTCAAACTAAACTGATAAATTTTAATAACGACAAGTACTGTACTTGTTCGTTGTAAAGGGTCGTGGGTAATTTTACTATTCCTATATATATATCGCGTTGGGATTATGGAATTGAATCAGGATGAATTTCTCACAATCACTCTGGTCTTCAGCAAGATCGTAGACACCTCAAGTTCACGGTGTTTTATCATTGACATTGTTTAGAAGGTAGAAGAGACAATTGAGCTCAGATTTGCTAGAATAATTATTTAAATAAATATGAAAACAGGGATGGTAATTGTCTGTAATCCAGGCTATCTAATCCCAGATTTCAAAAAATCGATCAAATATCACTACAATAGATCGGGTAATATGTACTATGCCATAAGATTTAGATTGATTTTCATATCTTTGTTTGCATCTGAGTGCAATGAGGACTCATGTATATTCACGCATGACGTATACTTCTTCTATTGTTTCATGTGGCTTCCACTTCAGAAATCTTCTTCTCTTTAATGTAGAAGTTGCGGTAGGCGCGTATACAGCGTATACAGCTTTGTTTCAAGTGGGGGTGATCAACGGCGCGGGATGACAGAAAGCAAGAAAGCGCCGCAGGCCTTATTTTGTTGTTGTCCAAGGTCGCATACCTTTGAATTGATCGTTAGGTTCAAATTAAGTTTGCTTCATTCACCTGGAAATTTGAATTTCCTGAAGGAAAAAAATCAAATTGTAAATGTCAAGTATATTGCCACTAAAAAAATGCTTGAGTGTAATTCGGTAAGACGATTTAATGAATGCGTATTATTGTTGATGGATTTATCAATTTCTCTGTTCTAAAACTGAATCGCGAAATTTCCACAGATTAAATACTTTTCTCATAAAGCATTTTTGAGAAAAAAATTACATAAAAACACCATCAAATCTTTGTTTCGAATTTTGGTTGTCACGTTTTCATGTAAAGTTTCCGTTTCGTCGCTGGAAAAGTTAGGGCAAACTTTTTTCGCTGTCATAATGACAAGATCACAGTGGCTTACGGAATTTTATATACATAAATTAAATTGTCAAAATGAAAAACGATGTTGCATGCTGCAGTTTTGGCATTTTTCAGTTTTAAGGAAGAAATAGATTAAATATTAGTTGGGTACGTGTTGAATGAAATAATAATATTTTGTGAATCTTAATGATAATTTTGATTGAAACACTGAATTGGTGGGGGGTTAATTCCCCCCATTACCCCCGCCCCTTATATACGTGCCTGCGGATAATGTTTCATGTTGTCATTTTAGTCAATTCCTCAACTGCATCCTGCCAATCGATAGCCAAATGTAAAATTGTCAACTATCGGCATGTTGAAATTACTATTTCTTCGATTTTTTAATAAATTGATAAATTGCACTTGGAAGTCACTTGTTCCTAATTCAATCAATTTCAACATTATCTTCAGCCGCTGGTCGCAATCTTCCAATTATTCTTCACCGGGTGTTTAACATTGAAGAAACTTTGATGTACCTTTCAGATAACTTGCCTGAGAACAGGGTACAGAAGTGTTTGGCTCAAGAATGCCTACAGTGAAGACCTGGAACTTGCATCTTTGCTAATTCATATTAGCATTAAGAGCTCCTCTACTAGCTAATTCCTCAGTGCCAAGCCATTGAAGCCGTTCTGTTATTTGTTACATAACACGTTGTTATATGATCACAGTGGATTGTGGGTCTTTGAAAGAATCATCTATTCTTTTATGAGGTTGTGAATTCGAATGAAGTTGAGATTTTCGAATGTATACCCATGTTACACGACTGTATCCTTTATCATAAACCATCATATCGTTAAATACTGTCTGCTGTTCTTCCAAGAAGAGGAATGTTCATTTCTGAAGGTTTTCACTGGTTCCTGGAATTTTTTAAAAAATATGAAACTGCATTAAGGTATTGTGTGTGTGTGGGGTAGTTGGGCCCCTGAAGCCAAAACATGATGAGTAATTTTTACAGCTATCAGCAATAAGCAGTAGTAAGTTCAATCAAAAGTAGGGATGCGTGAAACCCTCACAGGTATTGATTTGCTACATCCTCGAACATTATAGAGATTCCCTTTCGTGCGCTCCAAGAGATTTAAAAAAATTGATCAATAATGAAATCATGCATACATGATTGTAATATATAATATTGATGAAATCACAGTTTCATCTAACTTGGGACAGTTTCTTCCGGGAAATATGGTCGTTTTACGTGGTTGTTGCTAAAGCTGATATTACGTATCTATCCTATAGCAACCCTTGTCTAAAATGTGTGGAATTTTAAATTTCATCATTATAATCTCCTATTGGTAGGTAGTGAAAAAATAGTTACCCACTCTTCATTCTAATAATATGTATGTATTAATTAGTACCTTCCATTCAGACCAAATTACCATAATCTGATCAAAAAGATGGTATTGGAGATTGAAACACAGTGTCCAACTATCCCACACCCTACCTTTCAGTGACTGCTAAAAATCAAAACAGTGACATCTTGTGACACGACTATTTTAAATATTTTGTATGTACAGCGTGTCTCTTTTAAGCGACAAACTTCACTAACGTACAGAGATAAGTTCCTCACCCCCCACCGTATCTATCATATCTCAACGAAAAATATATTGTGTCAAAGGAAAGGAAGAGAAAAGTAGTTTTAAGTCCATTACTGCCAATGAAAATAGAAAATATTCATTTGACGCTATAGGCTATACCATTATGGGTTTCTATGAAATATTGAAGTTTATATAAATTCTTATTTCTTCAGAATATGTTAGAATACTTGACAAAAATCGAACTTTAACCCTCATATATGTGTTTCTCTTGGGAATAATAGGATGTTCCTATGAACTTTTTTTATTCTCAATCAACTGATACACGCATTGAGGTTCGTCGCCCAAACACTGCATGTGACACCCTATACATATATAATATTGGGGAAAAAAATGTAGAAAAAATCCATAAATGTCTATGTCAATGTTCATTTATAGGTAATAAAGACTAATATCAAAAAGTGATATTTTCATATTGAATTGAACTATTTATTGTATTTATTATAAAATGAAATATATTTTATACATGTAATTCTATATCATTGACTGTATTTTCGTCGAGTACATATCAGTCTTTATTAGGATGCCAAATAGTTTTCCATATATTTCGACTAAGTAAAATTCGACATATTATTATACCTACGGTTATGGTTTCATATAGGCTCTCTATCAAAATTTGCCTGATGAATCCACATAAAAATTTACTGAACATAAATGTACACAGAGCTGGCCAAACCTCCGTGTTTTCTTCGATTGGCAAATATACAGCGAATTTCTTGTAGAACAGGATAAATAAATTTAAAAAACTCCGCAAACGATAAGATTTTGATAGATTGATCAAAAACACGATATTCTACTTTGGCCAATATATACAGCGTGTCTCAATTCAAACGGCCCCCCCTCTATATCTCAGCTATTAGTCATGCGATCTTTACCAAATTTGTATCGGTATGAATATTCATCAATATGGCCAGATCTTCAAAGACAAACATCATTTTAGACAGTGCCGTGCATTTTTATTGAAATGAATAGGGGTCAGTTTTTTATTAAATCATATTAGGCATTTTTTCACAGGAGAACTGACCTCATAATATTGTTCTACATGGTTTCAAACTCACATATGTGGATTTTCATAAGATGCCTATGAAGGATTTCAGAAAAACAGGCACATCTAAACAGCATTTTTGCGAACGTAATAATTATTTACTCGAAAACGGTGAGTTCAACATTAAAAAGGATAACTCGTTTTTCCTTCCAAATCATGATTTTCCACCTACCGGAGCCATTGAACGTTCCAAAATTCGTAGTTGATTTGAAGTCACTATTTATTCGAGACTAAAAATGAAAAAAATGAAGCCAATCCTGTTAATTCGGAATTAGGTGATTTTTTGCATATGGAGGTTCCAAAGCATGAGGAACAATAATATGAGGTTAGATTTCCTGTAAAAAGATGCCTAATATGATTTCATGAAAAATCAACCCCTTTTTAGTTCTATAAAAACGCACGGCACTGTCCAAAATAATGTGCATCTCTGTAAAACTGATCGTATTGATGGTTATTCATTCCACACCAAATTTGGTTTGAATCGCATGACTAATAACTGAGATATAGAGGGGGGGGCGTTTAAAGTGAGACACGCTGTATAGCCTGATGACAGGTCTGTCAAACAATAGTACTGAATATTTCCGAATATGTTCTAATATTTTAATATTCATAGAATATTATGGAAGTTTCTAGAACGTCCTGAAAATATTCAAATGATGCATCACCAATATGTGATTAATCCTGTAGAAAATTAATATAACATTGTATGAAATGTGCAAGATTGTTTTCAAAATACAAAGATTCTTTCAAAAGAACATCCATAATTATATTTTTATGGATTGTTCTGGAACGTTCTCAGAACAATTCAATAATTTATTCTATGTTTGTGGAATTTTTTACTTTTATTAAGGATTTCTATCAATGGTCGACTGAGTCAATACAACATTTTGTCTGAAGAATCTCGGATTCATCAACTTGGAAAGCATTTCGAACACCATGTATATGTTGAAACAATCAATTGACCGTACCTGTACAATAAATATTATCAATAAATTGACATATCAGCATTTAAAGGCATCATTGATTATAGTCTCTATATAGTATTGTAATATGCATTTATATTTTTGTAATTTATAGATGAATTTAATGTTGTAATGATGAGCTTTTTGTATCAAACTTTTATTTGTGCTAGGTATCTCAATGTGTCAATGTTTAATAACAACGCACTAGTCAATCAATATTAAGTATTCAGGACAAAAGAGAAAAACTATTGTGAATCACTAATTTGAAGAAAAACAAAAAAGTAATCCACTACATTTTAGTAAAAAACAGAACAGCGAAAATTTACTGAAAATCCGCCCCAACTTGACAACTGGATATACTGAAATAGACACATTGTCCAAGATAAAGATATATCTAGTGGGGATCTGGAAACTGGAGAAATGTTGAGCATTTTCAAGCCTAACAATATGCCGTTTAGAAAGTTTTGAAATTCCGAGTAATTCCGGCCAAAAAAAACGAAATTTGACCATTTCGTGTTTATTTTATTTTTTTATATTCTTTAAAGAGATATAGGAAAACAAAAGACGCTTTTTCATTGACAGTTTTTAAGCTCTACAAAACGGCGTTGAGAGATATTTAATACAGGGTATACTTTTTTACGAGCGATATAAAAAAATGAAAGTTGATGGTAGTAGGGAAAATTACTCAATGCTGTTTTCTAGAGCTCCAAAAGTGGCAATGAGAAAGTGCACTTTTTTTCCTTCCTCTTCAAGTATCAGAATAATTCAAAAATACATAGTTTACCTCGAAAATAATCCCATCCACTCCAATAACGCCAGATATGTCCCACAAACATCATAAGGATTATCTTTTGTGCGATTCAAGATGATAAAGAAGAAAATTCTCAAACTTTGCCCTGTCCATTGGATTTTTATAGGAAATTCACTTATTTTGCTGTAATTTTTTGCAATGAAGTTAGAATTATATCTTCATTCAAATTCTGAAGAAAAATGATCACCATCACCATGTTGGCAACATGTTTTGCTATAAAAAAATCGTGCAATAATTATATGACAAATCCAAAAGAATCCATACGGATATACCGGGTGTCAACGAATCTATTAGACTTCTAGACCATGATGAGGTGTATCAAAATGAGATTTTTTCATAGGTAAATGGTATGTGAAGAGGGGAGTTTTCACATATTTTTCACTTTCCGGTCACTTCCGGTTTCACCGGAAATGGCTCCGGTTCTGAATTTTTAAATGGAACACCCTGTATATTGTAACATTTTTGGATTCCTGAGACAATTCTAGATCAGAATGTGACATTTTCGAAAGTTTTTATGCCTACTTAATTTTTTCGGAGTCACTTTTGAAATTACATCTAGGTGGCCATGATCAGAAGTAAACTAATCTAAGGACCTCAGGTGATATCAGAAAATTACAATCGCGAAGTTTTAGTGACAACTATGATAGATATGAATAAGACAAGTTGGCAAAATTACAATATACAGGGTCCATTTAAAAATTTAGAACCGGAGCCATTTCCGGTGAAACCGGAAGTGACCGGGAAGTGAAAAATATGTGAGAACTCTCCTCTTCACATACCATTCACCTATAAAAAATCTCATTTTGAAACACCTCATGGTCTAGAAGTTATGACTTGTCTAATAGATTCGTTGACACCCGGTATTCAGTATGGTCCTTTTGAATTTTAGGGATTCTATGTTGCCTACACAAATTGTTGAAAATTGTGAATGTATTCAAAATATATTGTTATTACATGTCTCCTCTGGCTTTCATTTATTATTCAAAAACTATAAGCAGGGGTTCAGAAAATATAACAGAACAAAAAATTATACTGGATATATATGAAACATGTATTGTGAATTTGGTATATTATGTATTCATTCATATACATGGCATTTAAATGAAATTTATATTAGAATGGGGTATTAGACACTACAAATAAAACCATTGGAAAATTATTATAATATTTATTGAAACTTATTTGGGAATCTCATGTTCAGGATCACGTTGAACACCTAACATTATATACAGATCTGCAGGTCTTCTAAAGGAGTCCTCACCAAGTATAATATTCTGCTGATCTTTTATTTGATATCTCATGTTTTTATACCATAGAAAATTCCCTGTGTCTGGTAGTTTTATGACCTCACCAATTTTACATGTTAATTTTCTCCTTGTAGTAGGATAACTTCCAAAAAAGATGAAGGTGTATGTTTTCTGCTGTGATAAATAGTATATCCTCATGGGTAACTTATAAACTAATACCTGCAGAATAACTACAAATGATACAAATGCAGTCATATAATAGAAAATCTCATTGTCAGTGGCCTGAGGTTGGTCCTCTTCCAAGGGGTATATACTGTTGTTGGTATTGAAATCATTTTTGATAACTGTGATAGCTACAATTAATAGTGTAGACACTGTTGTAATGAGCTGAACTAGTAGAATATAGGTGTCCATTGAGTTTCTATAAATCAACTTGTATTCATCAGGAACATTATCAATTATCTTGAGTTGATCTTTTTTTGGCCTCTTGAATATGCCGAAAAAATGTCTAACGGGTATAGATCGGCGTGGCACCTTAGCTAATAGTGTAGAGTTGAATTTTCCACAGGCTGAATGAATTTGTGATTTCCTACATAATGAAAATAATGATTTAGGGTGAATTCTACTACTACTGAACAGGTTTTTGCTTAACATTCCTAGCATGAACATATTTATGGAGAAGGTATTCTTGGAGTTATAGGATTGATTCCAGGATTTCTTCACTTCGATTTTGATGTATTTTCAAATATTTCAATGTTCATATTTCGTAATTCGTAACCTCACTTCTATTTAGTTTGGTTCTTTAAGGTCAAAACGAGTGCCTGCAGACAGTTCCTTCATCATCATCCAATATTTCGCTTCCAACATAATGAATTGACTAGTGTCTAGAGACAGGAAGGAAAAAATATTCTCCGTGTGGGGTAACCGCGCCAAGCGCCGGCACAAATCAGTAATCGTCTAGCAACGCGGATTATTTGTTGTGAAATGTAGCATAATACAACTATACTTTCCTAGTTATAATAGGTTCCATGTACAGGCGGTAATCCACCGAAAAGGCGCACGTTATATGCGAAAGTTGAATGCCGAGATGAGGCATTTCCGAGGCCCCTATCAGAAGTTTTACTGGGTGATTCCTAAAGTGCGACATACCATAAATTTATTTTTATTCAAATGGGACACCGTTTTTTCACGTTCTTATTTTTCATTCCGTCGAAGATTGTTCGCACTGATAGATGCGCTTTTTTGTCGTGACGTCACCAATTTTCAGATAGAATTCATGAATATGATGGAACCGATGTTTTAATACTTGAATACAACCACGAACTCGTAATATTTTGACCACTAGAATGCGTATCCAATATGGCAAATGAACGAATCATGCATCAGCTGCAACCATTGAACTGAACAACTTACATTGAGTTCATTGGCTGCAACTGCTGCAACACTTAGGTCAACCATGAACATTAGCGGCGTGTAAATTAGTGATGAAATGTAAATGGACACCAGTGGCGTATCTCGAAGATAAGAGGAAAGTACTTTTATACGAATTTTCGAAAAATCAGAAGCTGAGTATATAATTTTCAATGGGAAATTTGGATGATATTTGAGTAAATAAATATGCTGGCAATTTTTTTGCATTCTACATATATGATCTTAGTTTGTGAGAAAGGAATTCACTGCACAAATGTATAATATATTCAAAATTTCTCCTACTATTTTTGCACAACATATTCAATTCATGGTTCAAATAAGCTCACTGCCGAACCTGAAAAACAAACATCATTGAAATATCTCTATTGGCCTCAACGTGGTCCAAGATGTTATGATGTCATACATTTGACGAGTAGGTTCTTTTAATAATTCCAGTTCATTTAAGCCCAAGCTGGCTGAATATCATATACTGAATGTCAAACAATTATTTTATAAAGCATCATTGAATTTCTTGAAAAAAAACACTGCATTTAGTAATAAAATTAGTCACAATTATTGTACAAGAAATGATAATGTTCAACTTGAAAAACATAATCTCAAAATCATGCAAAACTATAGTAGTTTTATTGGGTCAAAAATTTTTAACAGAGTTCCATCAAAATTGAGACGTTTGAATATTGTAACATTCAAAAAAAAAATTAAAATTTGGTTTTTGGATAATGCAAAAGAAATTGATAATCTCTTCAAATAATTTTTTTTTTTTTTTTGTTTGTGTGCTTTGTATATATTGAATTTATAATCAATATTTAATCTAAATATTTTTAAGAACTTGAAAATTTTTTACAAAAAGTTTATAATAATTATCTAATTCACACACAGGTCAATAACCTATGTGAAGTAGATAAAATTTAGAATTTTTATAATATTAGAATATGTATGTCTTTGTAAATGTATTCATATGAGAATAAATAAATAAATAAATAAATAAAATGACTATGTCGTCATGTGCACAGCGTCAGCACCATGGTCAGCACACACAGAACACCCTCACACGTGCGTTGAAAGCTAGAATGGTCGATGTAGTGTGCAACTGTCGGGAGGAACTCGTATTATTTGGCGTAATAGTTTTGACGTTAAAAGCAAAGAATATAGGTTAGTCACCAAGAAGCTCCACTTCAAATGCGCGGGAAAACTGACAAATGACCTTGAATTTTTACTACGATCAGATGTCAGCTGTATGTTTACTGTTTGTCAACTAATTTCTTCTCAGAGATTTGGCAAATTTTTCAACAGTGACAAAAGTGGATTTAATCTGCACAAAAGCGATTATTATTTTTATAGACTTGTGTTTTTCTGCTAAGTTTCAGTGGAATCATCATCATTTTTCGTTTCTTGTTATCATTTTACATAACCTCAAAATATTGTGGTATAAGTGTAGGTATATTTGATTTTTTCTAGTGTCTAGGGTTGCTGAGGTAGAAATGATATATTTTTGTAGATGAACTTGGCAATGGGGAGACCTGGAGGACTAAAATGTGCAGTCAAAGACTGCAAGAGTAAGTACTTAGATAATAATCAACATACACCATTGAGATTTTTTAGGTTCCCTAATCCTAGGACCCAAGAAGTGAGAATGAATTCATGGCAACTGGCGTGCAATGATGAATTGATCAGGGCTACTGATCCTATGAAATTGTATGGAAGCATGAGAATTTGCAGTCTACATTTTGAGGATCATTTGATAGAAAAGCACAAACTGAAAGAAAATGCTGTTCCTATACTAAACTTGGTGGTAAAATAGTCCTGATTTTATTGTATTTTACATACTTACACTTGATCTTATAGGTATTTTTATCAGGCTCCATACATGAGGAGCATTCATATTTTAGTGATGAAAATATAGAAGTAGGTCATTTTATGGAAATAGATGATAGCTCTGAAGATGGGATGGACACAAGAGCAAGAAGCATTGGTACCCAAACAGAACCAGATATGGTGGACACAGGAACACAGACACTTGTGCAGAAGTCTGATTCTCAAGTGCAGACAGAAAAGCAACTTTCAGCTATCACACCAAGAAAAATCAAATTAATCAAGTAAATAAATGTGGTATATTGAAAACTATTTCCTACATTTTACTGATTTATTTTGTTATTGATTTGATTAAAATCTTCATTCGAAATGATGGTTATTTTTATTTCATATGTGCAAACCTACCTTGAATACTGAAGGAAATAATTTCAAGGAATTTCTTAAATGATTCATTTTATTTCCTTCAGTAAGACTGAGCAGAATGATTCATCAGCTTATGGAAAAATAAGATGAATTGAAGATGTTCATTTAGAAGATATCCTGAGATTTGTTCCTAACCTAAAATTACAAAGAGAAATTCCACATTGCACATAGGTAAATGATGATTTATCGTTCACAAAAACAAATTATCCTCATGTCCTGCTTAAGTTTCTGATTCATTGGCAAGTCAAAATAAATTATTATTAATTTCTATTATTCCATTGACACTTGTAAATAAACTATTCTAAGGTAGATTCACAATGTCCACCTAATTTTGTAGAATCGTGTTGTGATTGGGTGAACATACATTTACGCGACGGCTGTCAATCTATCCACCAATGAGGATTTGATACGTTGAACGCGGATCGCTTACTTGTAAGTTGTAAGCGCGCCTTCAATACGTATGTCAGTTTCAAAAAATCAATACTTCAACCTGCTTCCAACCAATGAGCGGAGCGTAACCCATCGTGCCAGTTCATTCATTTGGGTTATTTCAAGGTCATCATCTAAGTTTCACTATTTCATTCATAAATACTCCAAGTGGAATCTCTTTCCCCTCTCCTCTTTGTTAAAAGTCGTTGTGTTATCATTTATGTTTAAAAATCAAATACCTACGGACACAAAAAACTAAAATAAATTGTGGCCATTTCGCCATTTGTGAAATTGTGAATGTGACGTCTATTCTTTCTGATCTTTGTATATTTTATTATGCTGTGAGACTATTTTGTGTTCAAGAATTTATTATGGCCCTTAACAAGGAGAATGATCCCAAAGGTTTATTACAAAATTCATCCAAATCAAATAAAGATGGTTACAGACAAATATCGACAAAATCTGCATTTGCGGATATAAATGATAAAAATATAGATAAGGACACTGAAAGCGCTCCGAAAGTTGTATCAAAACCATGTGCAGATGATGCCCCATCAGAGGGAAAAGTAACCACTTCCACAAGCAAAGATCAATCCCAAAAACATAAATGGACATTATCCGATTTTGATATTGGTAAACCATTGGGAAAAGGCAAATTCGGTAACGTTTATCTAGCACGTGAAAAGAAATCAAAATTCCTAGTGGCCCTGAAAGTTTTATTCAAGACTGCTATCAAGGAATTCAACAATGAACATCAGGTTCGAAGGGAAATAGAAATCCAGAGTCATCTGAGACACCCAAATATCTTGAGAATGTATGGATATTTTCATGATGATTCAAGGGTATATCTCATTCTGGAATATGCACCAAATGGTGAGTACAAAAGTTGATGTATCCTAGTTGCATTGGTTATTCTTATAATTTTCAGGAGCATTATATTCAAAACTTATTGCTAGTCCTAATAAAAGATTTCCTGAAGAAATTTGCTCAAATTATATTGCCCAGATAGCAGATGCTCTTAGGTACTGCCACACAAAGAAAGTCATCCATAGAGACATAAAACCAGAAAATCTGCTGCTAGGTGCAAAAGGTGAAATAAAGATAGCTGATTTTGGGTGGTCAGTACATGCCCCTTCTTCCAGAAGAACAACCTTGTGTGGTACCCTGGACTATTTACCTCCAGAAATGGTGACTGGAAAAACACACAATGAAAAAGTGGATCTTTGGAGTCTTGGGGTTTTATGTTATGAATTTTTAACTGGAAAACCACCATTTGAGTCAAAAGATTATGATGACACATACAGAAGAATTAGTAAAGCACAGTTCACTATGCCACCTTATATCTCTATTGAAGCCCAAGACCTCATGAAGAAATTATTAGTTGTGAATCCAAATATGAGACTAGAGCTGAGCAAGGTACTCAAGCATCCTTGGATTTTGAAGCACTCAGCCAAAAGTGCTAGTCAGTGATTTGTGATTGTTTTAGAAAAAATATTGTTTCTTGGAATTAACTTCAAATAAAATAGAATAAAATTGTACTCAATTATGGATGACTATGCAATTCTGTGACATTTGTGTAGACCAGCAATATTTATGTCTATCAGGATGGTTTGTTCCAAAATGTCATGGAGTTGATGAAAATTCACTATTATAGAAACCTAGCTAGGAGTTTTAGCACTATTTATATACATCAAGGTGTGTACTAAAATTCTTCACACTATATCACACTTTTTTAATTAAGAGTATTTTTATGGGGTTCAAACTTATGGACCAATCTCATTTTTTCCATTTTTTTTCTCACTGTATATGCTGGACTTGAACATACTTGAATAACTCAATTCCATCTTATGAAAAGCAAGAACATCCTGTCTAAAATTATTTAGAATTATCCAGATAAGATGATAGGTAGCCAGTTTCATGTGTTTTTATCTATATTTTGTTATGATGTTTATAAAGGGCTTCTGGTTTTAATGTCTTTCTAGTTCTTGAACAGTATTGAGACTGAATTGTTGATTGAGAAATATATTAGTTATTTAATAAATTATACAAAAATCCAAAATTGTCTCTCTTGAATGTCATTCATTTTCTCTAGAATTGGAAATAAATCAAGGTAATGAACCATGAACCAAATAATCAGAAATAGGAACATGTGAAACAAATGTTTCATCTGAAAATAATTAAAGCCTCTTCTTTGCATGATTCAAGGCTCTGCCAGAGCATTTGCAAAGGTGAGAGATAGGTTGGTTAAATGACACCAAATGTGGAGTTTGTCAAGGCCAACTATAATGTGAAAAAATATTTTGATAAAATCTATTGTTTTTGTTTTACATGCAAAAAACAGATTCTGATCATCTTCATGTCTCCTCTGTAACTTCTTTATTTATGAAAATATTCAATTAGGAATTTCACATTCTTATGGCAGTTTTTCAAAGTGATTTCGAAAAAAATATGAAATTTATACCAATTCTTCTAAAATTTGAGATATCAGCACCAACTTTAGTTTTTCAAATGTAGGTAATTGCTCACTATGACTTAGTTACAAATAACTTTTTTTTCTCCTACAGATGATATGTCACAGTAATAGTTTTGTGTTGATAACAACGGAGTTATCTTCATTTATACAAAAACAAAAATTATTCGGAAGTCGCCATCTTGAATTTATGAATTTTAACAAAAAAAAATCATGATCTCCGACCTCAAAAACCCCCACTTACCAATTTTGAATGGAATCGGACCAAATCTTGTCCGCCATCTTGGAGCAGCCATTTTTTTTAAATTTCAACAAAAATTCCATTATGTATTGTCACCGAAATTATGAACACCTGCCAAATTTCAGAATAATCGGACGACCAAGTGGGAAAAATCACTTGAAGATGGCCTTGACAAACTCTACATTTGGTGTCATTTAACGGACCTCGTATCTCCCACTGTTAAAAAGATACCCATGGTGAGCATGGTAAGTGGGACACCCTGTATAGACTATTCAGAAATATATATGTATTTTGTATGTTTTGATAGATATGATTCCCTCATAGCATATATTCAATATTTCATTTGAGAAATATAAAACTTTCTGTAATACCCTGTATATTTGAACATATATTGCATCATTGTCAAAATGAGTTGAACCTGTATGAAAAATTGTATAAAATTAGCTTTGATTTTTTCTTAATGATAAGAAAAGGAAAAAGATCAAGGGGGGTTCACATTGATAAAACTAGCCCCCTATTTGAGCCCAGTGCCTAACTCACCCTGCTAGCACTGCTCCTCAAAACTTCATTAACCCTTTCAGTCAGGACTTCTCATTTTTTCAGTAAAAATTTTTTTGTGGAAGTGGGGGTTGAAGTGATTTTTGAGAATTTTTCGAAGTCCGTACGGCCTTGATTTTTCTAAAGAAAATCATGTTCGTTTCAACGAACATGGTGACTCCACGAGAAGGAAATAAATAGCTACAACATTGTGGTTTATTTCATATGGTTATCCTTGAAACAATTACGATCAGGATTAGTACATAAATGTTCACCACATTTCATAGAATTAAAATGTGTTTTTTTGAGGCAAGCTTCATTTTTGTACCTTGCTCCATCCCTACTTCCATCAAATATTGGTAAATGGCCCACTTCATCGAGTCACCATGTTCGTTCTCAAGTACATATGATTTATCTCCAATTAGTTTCATTTGATCATTTGGTTTTCTATATATTATAATGAACATATGAGGCATTAAAAAATAAATTTTGGAACTCAAATTCACTTACTATTTTATCAAAACAAACACGAGAAATGTGTTCATGAACAATAACAGCTGACACAGAAGTTGAGTAAGCGAAACTTGTATAATATCCCCAGAGATGGCGCTACCTATATCAGTCATTGAATGTCGCCTCAAATTACTATTAGCACGAGAAGTACATGTTCGTTTTAACGACCATGGTGACCTAAAGGGTTAAAGGACAAATAAAATAAAACTCCGGGAGGTAAAAATATTTTTATAATTATTCCTCCTCAACCTACAATCTACTTCTTCTTGGGGGCCTTCTGGGGCTTCGCCTTGCCTCCTGGCCTCGGCTTGTCGCCGCCTTTGGCCATCCTCTTCTTGCCATACAACGTTCCGTTTCTGGAGGCTGCCTTCCTCAGACAAAGGAAAGTCGCTGTACGGATGTGATTCCTGCGCGAGCGCGCTCTGCGCAGCTTGAATCTGTCAAAGTCGGTGAGTTGCAGACGCTGGAAAAGTCGGAAAAACAAAATCAGGATCCTTGAAGGCGAGGCGCCATTTGGGAATGGTATGAAGGAAATGTCAGAATGAAGATTGGCTTCAGATGTGTATCAGCCGGCAATTCCTATCAACAGAAGGATCATCATAATAATTTTATTGCAGGACTAACGGATGTATGCAGCGTTACTGACCAACTTTTAGTGATATACCGGGTGGCTACGGAAGTATTGCCTACGGAATTTCTCAGTTATTGTATGAAGTAGGTTTGTGAAATTTGGAGCGTCGATATAATGACATAAGAGCGAGAATTTGAGCATATTGACATGTCGAAGTTAACTTCCGGTCTGACCGGAAGTAACATCAACTTTCTTATTTTAAATGGAAACCCTATTATTTTTTCTTTTCGCTTTATTCAGCATTCAATTCCCTTTCTAATGACATATCACAAGCTGGTATCCAACCAGAAACTAGATCAGAAAAAAATTATTATTGAAATTCACCGAGTAGGCCGTGGAAGCAAAATGAAAGCCAAAAATTGAAAAGTTGGCTATGGAGACCATACGCCACTCGATGACAGTTGCTACTACTGTGATATTTTATTTTCATTCGTCGGCGTTATAAAAAGCCGCCAAAAAAAATATTGGAAACATTGGGAAAAATACAATACTCTGTAGGTCCATAACTTAAATAGGAACATACAACTTTTTCTTGCCTGTACTATTCAGCATAACCATTTCTTTCTAATGATATAATAGGAAGTCATTTTTTGAAATGAAATACCATTTTGCTTCCACGGCCTACTCGGTGAATTTCAATAATAATTTTTTTCTGATCTAGTTTCTGGTTAGATACCAACTTGTGATATGTCATTAGAAAAGTAATTGAATGCTGAATAAAGCGAAAAGAAAAAAGATAGGGTTTCCATTTAAAATAAGAAAGTTGATGTTACTTCCGGTCAGACCGGAAGTTGACTTCAACATATCAATATGCTCAAATTCTAGCTCTTATGTCATTATATCGACGTTCCAAATTTCACGAACCTACTTCATACAATAACTGAGATATTCCGTAGGCAATAATTCCGTAGCCACCCGGTATAACACATTGGAAGGTTAAAATAAAGATAGTATTAGTGAGTGATTGATATCCATAAAGGATTGTGGGCTTGAACAAGCTTGTTCTGAAGTTGTTAAATTATGTGAACTAGCTCTCACTATTTCCGTGCTTCCACAGAACGTAGTTTTTCCGCTCTGAAACGAATTAAGAACTTTGTAAGGAACTCTACTGGACAAGAAAGGCTGTCCTGCTTGGCACTTGTATCCATAGAAAAGGGATTGCTTCATGAACTTTCTCTTTACCAGAAATTCTACAATGACGGCATTGATGATTTTCAAAACAAAGTAGGATCCCACTGAATTTCAAATGAATACGAAAATCCAACATTCAATTTAAACTGTATGACCTTGAAAAATTAAAAAATTTCGCCTGCGACGCATTTTTCTTTCTATTTTTACTAACAGTTTCCTCTATCACTGAAGTCATGACACGCCACTGAAACATTTAGACATTTTGTGCCTCATTTGTTGCCAGGAATTTATTGTAAAACTGAGTGTCATTTGTTAAATGCCTTTTGACAATCTCAATTATAATTAGTTTGTGAAATGTTTATAATTAATATGGTGTTTGCGCTAATGTGCTTTTGTTTCGCCCAAATTTGAGGATGATAAACAGTTGAAAAATCGCTTTATAATGTTCTGGTTACATCTTATTTCAATAGATGTCACTGTACAAATTCTCTTCCAAATTGGAATAGAAACTCAATCATCATAATTTGGTACAATGGGCATTAAAAATATGACATCAGCGCCTCTTACAGATTTTCAATGAACAAGAACCTTATGTGTTGTCAGTTTTTTATCAATGTAACCATGGCAACTAGCCTTGATTAACCATACTCTTATAAACATCTCAGTTTGGACCTTCCCTTCTTAAGACAGAGGAAAGTCACTGTGCGGATGTGATTCTCGCAGCTTGAATCTAGCAAAGTCGGTGAAATGCAGACGCTAGAAATGCCGAAAAAAAAAAAAGAAAATCAGGATCGTAGAAGGCGGCGTGGCGCGATTTGAGAATGTCAGAATGAAGATTGGTTTCAGATGTGTACCAGCAGGCAATTCTAATCAAGAGAAGTATCATAATAATTTTATTGCAGAACTGTGGATTTATGAAACACACAGCACAATTGACCACATTTCATTTGGAAAAATGTATTCTGTGCATTGTTTTTTGTCAATGTCCATTATAATTAGTTTGAAAAATGAAGGTTCCAAGAAGTTGCTTCTGCAGGTCATTTTCAATAGTTAACAATTCAACACTTCTTGATTTAATGGGAATACAATATTTATGACAGGGGCTCTGATTTTATTCATATTTGGCGTTTGACATCTATGAGCCAACCTAACAATATGAAATGCCTAACACTTGAAAATATAGTGGATAAGCACAGACATTCAATTTGAACTAAGCTTCAACTATCCTTAGTTTCAATAGTATTTTGAGCAGAAAATTTAGACAAAACAACACATACCCAATTTGTTATAGTTATTTATTATAAAAGGGAAAAAGTTGATTTAAGCTCCAGGTTGTGATGTCTCCCGACGAGTAGCGGAGGGAGACCAAAAAAACCGTGAGCCATAATCTAATAATTTTCCAGTGTATACACTATTTTTTCTGTGACATTATATTAAAATCAAAAAGCTATTGACATGAAAATTGAATTCTTACAGGCATCTTCATCATTATTTTGAAGTAATCAAATATCTGTCAGTCTAATTCTGTGATTTGATTTCAAAGAATTGGGAATTTAGTGCTTGTTTAGTAATTTACATAACCATGAAGTCAAATGGAAGATGAAAGCAGTTCTTTCTCAGTGACAGTGTTATTGGCTTATTTTTGGAATCTATAACACAACAAGAGCCCTCAACAGTGTATTTATATGTAATAAATATCCGGGAAAAAAAGTAATGCATGAAAAGTGACATTTTATAAAAAAGTATCTCTATTATCATGCTAGCAATTCAAAATATGCTGTACTAGAAAGTTGATCAACTCCATAGTTCTGTAATGCTGAGTTTATAGATTCAACTAAGCTAAGAATTGTACTTACATCTAGGAACTTCAGAAGTTGAATACAAGAAATATTCTAGTAGGGTTCATACATTGACCATGTATAACATGAAAATTGTAATATTTTATTGTTGAAAGTAAAATTTGGTGATATTTTAATGAAAAATTCATCAATTGTGAAGACAAAGAACAGTTTTCAACATCACTTTGATCATCAATGGAAATACATATGTCATTGTCTTCAGTGTTCCAATGTAAAAGAATGAAAATTTTATGTTGGATATAGGAAAAAATCATATTAACCTCAACATAAAAAAAATTATGATCTCTATTTCTTATCATTTCCAGTGTTGACAACATAAATTTTCATTATTTTATGTTGGAACACTGAAGACAAGGACAGATGGGAAGACATTTTCTCTCAATGCTAGTTGACCTGCCTTATCAATATCAAACATGTGTGAATACCCTCATAATTATCAATTGTCCATTGTTAATTTCTAATTGTTAACTCAATTGAATATTTATACCCCTCAAATAGGTGTGAAATGATATACAAGGTGAAATTCTCTGGAAAAATGTTGGCCTATGATCATCACAGTAGGCTGGGAAATATTGTTGGATGGAGAATAAAAAAAATGCTGATGTAGTATAACCATTAAATATCTAGAATATGATAATCAAACTAAATGTAGTCATTTGAAACATTTTTCAATACATTCACACAACTCCTGCTATTTGTATTGCACATGTAAGAGACCAGTACATTAATTCTTTCAATTGTGAAACATGAACAGGAAAATAGGATGAAGATTGGAATCAGGATGCATACCAGCCAGCAAACTGTATTAGGATCATCAAAATAGTTGCATTGATTTGAATATCTGTTCTAAAGAATGACTATTCAAACATATTAGATTATCAAAATCACATGTGGATTTACCACAATGATCTTACCTTTTCTTTGGAGGCAACTTTTTTGGCCCAAACTGATTCAGTCCATTTTTCATTGATTTTTTCATCATTCCAAGCTTTCCTAACTACACGTGTTGATGCTGCATAAGGAAATCTGATGCGGAATTTTGTTAAATGCAACTGACTCAACCTGATTTGACCCCTAGGAACACCTGTTTCCGGGCCATCAACTAAAACCTACAACAGAATTGTACCTGCATTGAAATTTGTCCTCAACTTATGAAATATAAATAAGCGTTTTGGAGAATAATCAGAAAGTGAAGTGGCTTCATATATGTATCAGCCGGCAATTCCTATCAACAGTAGGTTCATCATATGAAAGGAAAATCAACAGGAAATAGGTTATGTTCAACATCAAAAATTCGTTACTTACCCTTGTTTGGTCAATAACATCAACGATACTAACTAGTTTGCCTTTATTTGGGCCGTCAGACACAACAGCCACACGGCCAGTTTCCACAAACCTCTGGAACGGCTGGAAGACAAATTAGAAATTAAAATAGCCAAATACCTACATGTGGTGAGGTAAACAAAAATATGGAAAACCAGCAGCAATTTTCATTGAGCTGTACAATAATGTATCACACTTATTTATGAAATACCTATGTGAAATGTGATCAGAATTTTCAGAATTTAACAATAAAATTTGATAAAAAAAACTGATTTGGAATATACACCACCTTACCATGCTTCAGAACCGTCAGAAAAGAACGATGGCCGTCCTTTGCCGGAAATTACTAACTGATGGACGAAGTGTGACATTGTTGACAAGTGACACGACTTCCGCTGATACGATTGACTACACCTTTTTATTGTATTGGCAAGGTGATCGACCGTTGGGGGCGCTGTTTCAAAACAAGATGGCGGCAAAGAGTGTGTAGTTTGTTTACAAAATTTCTTGAGATTCGCATACATTTTCTTCTTGATATTTCATCGTGTTATTCGTGTTTATTGTTGAACTTTTCACTGAAATCATAATATTTTTTGTTGAATCATACTGTTTCATCGTGATGTGAGGAAAATTACTGTTACCTACTGACTGAATCGTGGACCAAATAGTCTGAGCTTTCTTCAAACCAGTGCACATCTGTGGGACAGCTTTATGGGATATAAAAAATCACAAGCATATCCACTATCATCAGAAGCTGATATATTCACCATAATACCTCTATAACTTAACTCTTCAAGCAAAAGGATCCTACAGAACACAAATGGTGATACCAGGAGTGAAGTTTTTCAACAGTGAACAGCCTTCTGTGAACATATTGAAAACCATCCCTAAACAATGTGTTAACCTATTCGACTATTTTGTGCTAAATATTATAGCCATCAGAATCATGTGCAATTGATCCATACAATAGAAATCAGCAGCAACCAGCTCTAATGAGTCTAAACCAAGAAATAATTCAACACCAAAGGCATCCTGACATTACTGTGGATTTAATAGTAGATACAACTATCAATGGCCTATCTTCAACAATATTACTTCCAGGCTTTGAGGATTGTTCACAGTGCAACTCCCATACCTCATATATTATGGTGCTTCACTGCAATAACAGCAAATCGTCATGATCCTTTGTGCCATGTGTGTGAATTGTATCCATATAACACACTTTTCATAATGTGAATATTCCTAATATACTTAGAGTTGAGGTAGGTGGCATCCTAGACTGAGTTTTCTTCTTGGAATTCATTTAATATCTTGTAAAGCTAGTTTTTTTACCATATTGATGAAATCATTGAATAATTTGGAATTCCACCACATAAAACATTGATCAAATGACCTAGGATTTCAGTTAATGTATTTACACAATATATTATCATAAATTATGTGATTTGATATCATTTTGTAATCCTAAATTCATCTAATTGAAAATATCATATCAATATGTATACTTCATTATGTTTTGGAACTGAATTGATAATAATTTTCTAAAATGAAAGTACATTGACATAATGTGTTTTACTGTACTTATGCCACTCCAAAGAAGTCAAGAAAGAAGTACCTACAAATAGAAGGATCTACCTGTACACTCCTTCCCTCAGTGCTCATGTATACTGTTTTTCCCTGAATTATTTTACAAGATACCTTTATAAAAATTTACAATTATAAATGAATTTGAAATCCAGGACTTTCATACATTTAGAAATAAATTAACAATGAGCAAAAGTAAGTATCTACTTGGTAGGTACCTATTTTAAAAGGAATCAGTAAAGATTATAAAGTGAAACTTTGAAATTGCGTAAAAAAAGAATGAGGTGTTGATTGAGGTAGTTGTGGAATTGAAATATGAATTTTGAAAATCTACAATAAAACATTACAAAACAGAAAAAAAAGTAGAACTTTTACTTATGAATAAATACAGTTTAATAATAACATACAAGCAGTAAAATTATGAATACATTTTTCCAAGATACAATATGAAATGTCATGGATAGGTTCAAGTACCCAAATAATCAGTGATATTTCCTTAAAAACTTGAATTCAACTTCATGGTATCTGGGTTTTGGTTTCAATTTGTGTAACTATTTGCACTCAATTGCAAGATACCCTGGATGGCAACTCCTCCCCTGCTGAAAAATCAAAGAAATGTTAGTACCTACTATAAACAAACCATATCTATTAGCTATAACACAATCTAAATATTCAAATAGATGTAGATTGTGTCACTTTAATGTATGTTCAAAGATTCAATTCAAGCTATGAAGTAAGCTACCTACAATGACCTGCTTGTACCAGGGTTATTATATTTGCTCATATGAATGTAATTGGGAGCTGTATTTTAACTTAATCATTTTGGAAGTACATGCAATCTGCATTGGCTAGTTTACTACAAAGATATGATACTACAAAATAGGAATCTATAGAGGCCTAGGCAGGATGTCATGAACAAGATTTTCATATGAGTCAAGCATTACAAATAAAACTATAAATTACCCACCTGCACATGTTCATAATGTCTTTTTTCTTGCCCAGCTTTGTGTATTGCAGTTCAAAAGTCAAAGGCATTGAATTTGCTTCTTTATTTTCATTATGAGAATATTTGGAAGAGAAACAACCATACTTATTTTTCCAAGTCCTAGTTTCTGGAGACATTTCCCCATGAACAGAATATGAACCATTGATCATTTCAATCATGTTCTCTCTCAGATAGGCACTGCAAATAAGAGTTATTCATCAGCAATAAATATATCAATGAATCACAAATTTACCTTATAGTTACCATTATTGGACCAATGAAGTGAAGAAAGGTAGGAAGTTTTTGTTGGAGCTGCATACATTCACTTTTCAAACTCATATTGGATTCTCAACGTTTCTCAATTTTTTCCATTCAACTGAACTGATTTTTCATCATCAGAAAAGACTTCTTGAGTGCAGGAAATTCATATTAGAGGACATTATAGGTCCTACATTTTTCCATTGGAACCTTCTACTAGTTCAAACAGCAACCAAACACAGTTGATTTCGCGTATTATCAGAGATTTGTTGATACTCATTTATAAAATAATATAGAATTGATTTGGCAATTGATATTAAGTTCATGTCTTGTACTCAAGAGAAGGAAGAAGAGAAAATTAAGGTAATTTGTTGAATGGTATTCATAAAATATAAAACCTACTGAACACAATAACAAACATGACCTTGAATTACGTCCTAAACTGGTTCAAATTTGCCCACCAGGTGCCGTATCGGAATTGTCACCTTGCCAATTGCTAAACTGGCTAAAGTTAATCTTTTTCCCATAGTTGTCTCTGTTCATGCCATGATGTAAACAAAGAAGGTCATAGAAAAAAATCAAGTTTAGCAGGTTGAGCAAGCACAAACGAACAGGCCTCACAGGTAGTCCCTTTCGATTTCAATCAAAATTATTTTGTATATGGTTTTGTCCTTGTTCACTTATTAGGACGGTGAAACAAAAATAGCGCTTAGCGATATATAGAGCATATTCCGATATTCCCGAACAGTACTGCACGGTATATTTTATCGTTCCGATTTTACTGAAATTTACTGGCAACGTTTTCGCGGGTCATTGCAAGGAACCCTGTTAGAGGCTAAAAGTTTAATGTTGGCTAGTGGTGGGCTAGTGATACAGAAATCTCGTCAGACAGTCTAGATATTTAGCCGCCATTGGTTAGGTTAATCGTTTGAATGTTTATGTACGAGTCGATAAAAAATATAAAGGTATCATTCTTATCTATGATACTTTGGGAAAATGTACGAATTCGAACTGGAAGATCTCACAAAGGCAGTTAAAGCTGAAACTGCGCCACTAATGTACAAGATGGTTTGTTATTCTCACTCTTGATATCAAATATTTCCCAGCTCTGCTTCATTTCTTCACCACTGAAGTTAGAGGAATTAAAACTTGATGGTGTTTCTGATGAATCAGAATCACTATAGGATAATGATATGTCTTCTAAGATGATATGATTAATCACTCTATCAATAATTTTCGACGTGAGCAAGAAGATAATAAGAATAATGAAAATAAAAATCAACAAATCAAAACATCGAAAATTATGATTATATTTTGCTGCCGGTGTACAAGGTCAATTAACTACTGATAAATAGCCGTGAACAGTAAGATGAAAATTCAAAGCTACTGCTACTGTTTAGTGTTCCTAAATTGCTTACTGTGGCCAGTAATGTCAGCAATATCGGAAAATGACATGAGTTTCTGAACTCTGTAGCTTCAACTGATTTTGTGAAAGAGAAATATAATTATTATTACGTAAAATCGAAAGGCTAAGGTTAATAAGTTTTGAGGCTACATGTTCAGTTTATCAATCTTAGCTATTTTCAATATTTTGTATTTCTGGAGTCTCTCGCCAGTCATGAATAAAACCCGACTTCCACGGCGGTGAGTGCGGCGGTGGCGTCAATTTTTTTTTCACTCAAGTAATTTTTTCTCCACGTGGCAGGGAAAGTTGCTTTTTCTCTGACACCTAACAGGCTGGAAAGTTGTACTCCCCCTGCCTAGGCAGGAAAAGTTCGTTGCTATATGTAACGTTCCAAGAAATTTCAATTAAATTCCTAATCAAAATTGACACTGACATTGGGTGAACACAAAATGATGGAGTTTTCAATAAAAAAATTACACAAAATCGGTTTTATAACATTTGGGGAAGAATTCATGTTTCACACGGTAGGAAATGTAGATTGACTGTCTTGGTAGAATTTTCAGCCTTATTGCTACGCTCGGCTATGAACTATCAGCCGCGGCAGTCAATCGACTACTTTCCCAAGGCTAGTAGAAGAGATACTAATCTTGCTACTTTTCTGCCTAGTAAAACAAATAACTGTTTCGAACAATAAACTTTTCAGGTAAAAGGTTCATTTAGGCCGAGTGAGGTCAAAAGTATTGTATTTCTCATGCAGAATAGTACGTTGTTTTATTAGGATCGAATGTGACACTTTGTTTGACATGGAAAATTCGCGTTTGCGATAGTGAAGCCGATCCGAATGAAACATGCATTTTTCTTCTGCAATCGAAATTATTGATATGAGTGAAGTTACCACTACTTTGACTCACTTGAGCATGTCAGTGTCCGACACACTTCTAGTTCCTTGGAGTTAAACTTCAACTTTAGCTCCTGGACACTGGAAGTGTTACCTAGCAACATATATACAAATTATTCTATTGAGTAAGAGGAACGTCAACCTCAAAATTTTTGATAAAAAATGGACGACTGTTTAGTCGGTTGCAGAAAAACTGAGATACGATTTCACCTTCTGATAACCTTGAGATTTTCCGCACAGCAGCATGCTACTATTTGCATGGCTGGCGAGAGATATTTCGTCAACTCCTCAACTTGTCGAAATCACGAAATCATATGCCATATGTCAAAAATATTTTTTTTACATATATTTTTTAATCAGTGCATTTTTTGTAAATCAATTTTGAAAGCAGAAAGAAAGCTCAGTGGAAAGTTTTGATTTCTATAGGTGCTAGGTGAAGAAGAAATAATAATTGTGTATAATAGTTTTGTATTGTGTATTGTTTGCATTTGAAGCATGCATAACTATTTATCCCAAGGTGAGTTTTCATTTTCAATATGGGTCAACTCTTGGGACAACTATTAAGAATAATCCACCTCAATATTTCAGAAAAAAACCCACCACAGGATGATAATAACCCACTTGCATTGGAATCCGTCAATAAATATGTATATGTTAAACATAATTTTGTCCCTACATTACAAGAGCAGGGATACACTGGGTCAAAGGTTCTAGTAAATCCTCTTTTTAACAAAAAAATATTCGTCAATCCAAATTATCATGTCCCTTCCACATCTTTGCCTACCAAGATTCATATCAATCCAAGAATAAAAACTGCAGATCTAGCAGAGAACATAACTAAGAACAACATACACATCAATCCTAAAGTATTGAGAAATATACCAATAATGGAGAGTAATTTTTCAAAAAACTCTCTGCTAAATCACCGTATTGAGCAATCTCCAAAGACTGTAGTTACAATACCACAAAGAGTGAGGAGAACATCTGTTTGTTCTAAATTCAAAATAGTTAGATCCACATATAACTCAAGCCCTAGCCTTAAAAAAAGGTATGAAAAATGTAATAAGACATTGGTGAATACCAGATATAAATTTAGCAGAGGGATGCCTTCTAACAGGTCACCACCAAAATCTACAAAGATAGCAAACAAATATAAGCTTGATAACAGGAAGAACAAAAATATAATAACATCACCAAAAAATAAGTTCATATATGTGAATAGATTCCTGAGTATAAGGGATATAGCAAAGAAAGTACTCTTGAAACCAAATAAAAAATCAAAATCTAATCTGGTCAATATTAGAGGAACTATGTACAATAAATCACCTAATTCATTGAGGAGGACATCTACATCAAGAAAATCAATACCAAATATATTGAAAGTTCAAAATATGATATCCAAATCCAAGTACAAATATGTTAGAAGAACACTTCTTGCAACTACAGATAATAAGTTGAGATATACCAAGAGGTTAGAAATTATTCACAATTTTGGAAATCATAACTAACTGAACCAATTTAATTTGCAGGGTATCAAAGGTTAAAAGTAGAGTTTCTACTGAAAAATTGAAGAAGTGTAACATACCTTGTCCCTATTATAGAAAACTTGGGCGTTGCAAAGGAAAAGAAATTGGAAAATGTAACAGAAAACATGATCCTGATCAAGTAGCTTTGTGTACAAAGTAAGGAAATTCCAATGAGTAATTATCACCTCCTAACAATTACTTTTTAATTGTAGGTTTCTTCAAGGAGCCTGCATTGATAATAAATGTTTGTTATCTCATAATGTTTCTCCTGAAAAGATGCCAACTTGCAAGTTTTACCTAGAAGGTACTTGTTCAAGAGATGATTGCCCTTATCTACATGTCCGCATAAGTCCTAAGGCAGATATCTGCAGGGATTTTCTTGAAGGCTTCTGCAAAAAAGCCTCTGAGGTAATGTTGTTGTCATTTAAATTCATTCTTTGAAGAGAATACAATAATTGTGAAGCACATGTGATGACACTTTTTTTCAGTGTGACAAGCGTCACCAATTTTTATGTCCTGATTATGAAAAAAGAGGCTGTGGAAAAGTTCGTTGTCCTTACCCTCATGGCAAGATGGTAAGAAAGTATTCCCTATTAAATAGGAACAAATTTGTCAAGAAATCTTCTGATAATGTCAAATCAAAACCCAGTCAGAAGTGTGAAAATTACATAGAGAAGAAGGAACCACACCATATTTTGAGTACTGATGAATTGGCAACTAATCCTGTTGGTATCAATAAACGCTACTATGCTGAGGAAAAAGTAGTAGAGAACCAAAATATTGATTTAGAGAGTTGTGTAGACACAAATGAATGTGATCAAGATGTTGGTTTCAGATCTAGGCCAAAACTGGGCGAATTGCCATCATACATTGCTTTCAAAGAATTATGATGAACATTTCTTGGCAACTAATTTTCTTAAATTATTGAATAGCTCATTAGGCTAGTTGTATTATTATTGTACTATTGAAATTGATATTAAAAAATATATTCTTGAAAATTATGTTTTATTTAAACTCTTAAAGTTAAAAACCAAACAATAACAAATTATCACAAGACAACTAGGTACATAAAAACTTAATCATTTCTGAGAAATATTTACAGGATGTCCAATAAAAAACTCTGTAAGCTGTAACTCTAGTTCAAAATACTAAAAAAATGGTTCAGATGTGAATTTCTTCAACATCTAGCAAAGCATATATATTTTTTTGATGGCATATTTGTATTGCATTCCGGAATTCAGATCACAAGTTGATACTTGGGTTGCTCGTTTTGAAAAGAATGTGTAGAAAATGTTTCTCAAATTGGAAAAAAAAAACTGACATATTTACAGCTTGTGGTAGATATCTTCCAACAAAATCCAAAAAATATTTTTTTGCAATGAAGTCATGGTTCTTGTTTCACAGAGGAATTGAAGCTATTCAAGAAAAGTCAGTCATGATGCAAGGCAAAAGTATCACCATCACCCATAGAACATTTCATAAAATTCTAAACTTTTCAAATCAGTTATTATTTGTCCTTATAAATTAATTTCCAATTTGAAGGTGAATTGTACCCTAGTAAAATTGGCCCATGAAGTAAAAGGGAATAGCTCTCTTTGTCAGTATTGTTGGATAGTTGTATCCAATCTGTTAACCATTTCACCATTTCTTCTGTCTGCATATTAGCTGGATTTAAACCTAAAAATCAATTATGAAAAATCCCAACTGAAGGTAATCTTTTTGAAGTGGAAATCTATGCAATTTGAAAGAATACTAATTACCTCTTAGAGAACATGATTTCTTGAGTGCTGGTAAGGGTAAATTGTGTACTCCACCTTCTCTCATTATTGCTTTATCCATTTCTCTCAGAATATAAGCCCTTTCTGCAAGTCTTGTTCTTCTGAACCAACCTCTGTGCATATCATGCAATTTTAGAAGGTGTATCTACAATTGATATTGTGATCTACCTTGTAAATTATTATCACATGAAATTTTCAAGATTTTCTCAGATCAATTGATGAATTCAAGGCTAATTCATTACCTCATTCATTCCTGAACTAATTGCTCATTGATAAAAGCATATCAAGACAGAAAAATCTAATTGACAATGGCTCAACATAAAGGTGGCAAAACCACTTTTTTCAAAAAGTTGGATTGAAAAACTAAAAGGCTGTTTGAAGGCTCCTATCCTAGACCTAATGACAGTATTCTACTCTTTGTTTAATGTGAAAAATCAGGAGTTTTCCTTGCTTCATCATTACTAGCAGTATTTTTTTTGAAGGGTAATAACATGGAACTACATGAAAGAACCAAAGAGTCAACAGGGAATTTTGTATCATTAGCACATTGGGTCATATGCAATATCAGTGATTATTGGTAATATAATCAATCAATCATCACTTTGCCTTATTTCTGATATGAGTTTGTCTAAAAAAAATGAAGAAACACATGTAGGTACTTACTACATGACTTCTACTGAGGTAAAAGAGGTGGTATGGTTCAGCCATGAACAGATCCTTACACTGTATGATTTCTTTGACACATGGTTGTGATCCACTACCTATCACACCAAGAATCCTACTCCAAGGATCAAAGAGACAGTGTGGTTTCAGAAAACTGAGCTGACTTTGTAGATGCCTAAACACAGGTCTGTTGTGGTGCAACCTGTCTCTGAGATTGAGCACATCAAAATCTGATTTTTGTTGCAATGTCCAAAAATGTGAGCACAGCAAATATCTGGGCAACATGTAAGCTAGGGGTAGGATAACATAGGGTCCCAGTGGTAAAGCAGATATAAGGAGAACAGGAGCTACTTTTCTCATGTCTTTGGGCATTTGTTGGTAAAGCTCAATTTCTCTTCTCAGTAACTTCTCAAACTTTGTCCCTGGAACTCCTGGGGAATTCAAGATTCTAATGATTCTGAAATAGTCTTTGGAATCGCTCATGAAGTCTTTGACTCCCTCCATAAATACTTTGTAGACTTGTATAGCCCCAGTGAACCTCTTTTCCACAATCTGTTCATAGTTCTTCAAGTAATCTAAATATCGCGTCAGGAAATAGAATCGGAGTTTCTTTGCTTCCTCTGTTTTATAGATGGACTTCCTCTTGTTATATCTTATTGTAGGATGGATTAATCTGTTAAAATATATTTTTTTTGAGCAGGAACTAGGTATAAATGATTTTACCATACCTCAAATTGTTGTTGAGAATAGTTCTTTTTGCTGTCCACCAGAAAATCATATTTACCTTTCTTATAATTACCTTATATTAAACATTCAAGGTAAAACCTATGAATAGTAATTATTTTACATTTTCGGAAATGTTTAGTAGGTCTACGTCATTTTCACATACAGGTATAGAAAATAACGTCTGGAAAGTAAAAAATTAATAAAATAATCTTGATTTTGTTTTGAAGAATATAACAGCTTTTGATTTGAGGTTAATTTCCTCATTCTTCACATTTTTGTTCTCAAAGTCAGCTGCAAAAAAATCCGTTGACTCAGTGGCGTCACCTTACCTTCCCACAACTTTGCGGGGATGAACATTCCTGCATTATTACCAAAGAATAGTTTACTACTAATCTACTAATACACCTACGGAACAACTGAAACATTCCCAACTTAGCAGTCATAGCTGCCGGGATTGGCGCAGTGGAAGAGCGTCAGTCTCACGACCGCAGGTCGTGGGTTCGATTCCCAGCACGGGCAAGGAACTTTTTTCAATATTTTAGAGTTAGTAACAAAGCCTACACAGAACACGCAGAAAGATATGATGATGTGGTTGTGAGCATCAGAGAAGAAGTAGGACGCGGTGTATGTAGGTGGGTGTGGAAAACTACCAGCTGAGCGTGAGAGCGGGCCAGCTGCTTAGTAGACCTCGGTCTCGGGGGTTAACGAGGATAGTTAGCAGACCTGCCACTGCGCATATGGTAGTGAGTACATTACTAGCCTACAAAACACAGCTGAAAAACTCTGAAAGAGAGCTGATGGGCGGTGCCTGAAAAAGGATGTTAGCCATCAGCTCTCTTGAGCGAACCACATCAGTCATTGAAAACACTTGGGGTTTGCAAAAAGGTCCCATTGGGGACTAGTTGCTGACGTGGAAACGTCCCCCACCAGTACCAGTACCAGTCATAGCTGAATAATGTGTGGTACTTGTGGTAGAGGAAGTAATTAACCCCCCCCCAGGGGATAAGGACAGATAATCCACTAATTCCCTTTCGTGAACCGTTTTTTTTTCCGCAGAGCTCCCAACATTCTTTAAATAATTATTGATACTCACGAAATTTCATAACATGAAAAACGCGGGAAGATGCGTGACGTAATCACCTGTGAATAATCCAATGCAATTCATATAAGATTCGACTACATATGCATTTTCTATTGCTGACGAGGTAATGCATTCAAATATCAGTACAAACCATCAATAATCATATTTATTGCATCATAGAATATCAGTCTCAAAATTATTGCACATACCATGAAAATTCGCGATCCACTCTGAACCAGAAATTTAACATGAATTTATTTGAATAGAGTATTTATCTTCTAAATTTCATTAGACATGAATAGTTGAAATTAACCTCACATTTCACATGATGAATTGAAATGAGTAGAATTTCAATGTACATGAATAAAAATTGTATCCAATAAAATGTTACCATCGAATGCCTTAAGAATTACACGTACACTGAACTTATTATACAAAAATGGACGAGTAAAAAGTTTTGGGTCTTTTGAATGTTGTTGAATTAAATTTCAACATATTTCCATTCAGCTTAAGAAATCTTAAAATCGACTAATACTAAAATTTTCATGATATTAATTTGATTTTATACCGACGAAATATGAATTCAACAATTATGCATGTAATATCAATGAAAACAAATGATTAATGCAGAATGAACTTCACTTTTGAGACATGAATAAATTTGGAAGTCATATACATCAATTAGATAATGATTGGAAATTTTGGAATACATTCCATTTCGTAAGTTTGAAGAATATTCTAATTCTAATTGAAAAAATTATAATGCGAATAAATTTTTTTTCCTTAAATAATATTTCTAATTTCTATTACATTCGTCTTGCAGATATTGTATTTCACTTCGTGAAAGAATGAAATGTGTGGTCGATTTTAGTCATCCTGAATTAGTAGGATTCTTTTCAATTTTTGGTAAGTAGGTAATGTGTCAAAACAAATACAGAGTTCTTTTTTAGTACCCACTGGTTCTGAAATGCTGAGATACCTGCCATATTTTTTATTGCTTCTGGAATATCAGAAAAAAAAACAGATTATAGTATTATGCTTCTCTAATTGCGCAATATATTATTAATTCTAATTTTCATTATTGAAAGAAAATATGGGTCTTCTTCATAGAGCACAGCTTCATCGAAATATAACGACTGTTGCTTTCCTTAAGTGCACGAATAATTTGGTATAAACTGGTATAAAACCACTCTGTTTATACCTAACTCTTGGAGGCGACACCCTCCTTTGTAAACGGGCATTAAGAACGTCAAAGTTGATACACTCCCCTCGACAGTTTGATTGAATGATCGAAAATTCGACAGATGTTGAGGTTCTAAATGATGTGTCACAAACGAATATAGAGTTCTTGAGAGTACTGGTACTGAAATGTTGGGATATCTGCCATCTGCCATAGTTTACATTGCTTCTGGAATATTCTGAAAAAAAAACTCAGATTAGTATTATGGTACTCTGATTACGCAATATATCATTCATGGAAATTCACATTTTTGAAGAAAACATGGTCCACTTCATAAAGCATAGCTTATTCATTCAAATAACGACTATTAGTTTCCTAATGTGGACAAATAATTTGGTGAAAACTGGAAAAAACCCACTGTTTAGACCTAACTCTTGAAGGCGACACCCTCCTTCGTATAGAGCCATTACGAACGCCAAAGTTGATACACTCTCCTCGTAAGGTTACCGGACGTGATTGAAATTCATTGAAGTAGAAATATGAAACTTATCTTGAAAATCTCCATATTCCGTTGAACTGTCTGACAGATGTTGAGCTCCTGAATGATGTGTCACAAACGAATATAGAGTTCTTGTGAGTACTTGTTCTGAAATGCTGGGATATCTGTCATAGTTTACATTGCTTCTGGAATATCCTGAAAAAAAAAACTCAGATTAGTATAATGGTTCTCTAATTGCGCAATATATTATTCATTGAAATTAACATTTTCCAAGAAAACATGGTCTACTTCATAGAGCACAGCTTCATTCAAATAACGACTATTAGTTTGCTAATGTGCACAATTAATTTGGAAGAAACTGGTATAAAACCACTGTTTATACCTAACTCTTGAAAGCGACACCCTCCTTCGTAGAGAGGCATTACGAACGCCAAAGTTGATACACTCCCCTCGTAAGGGTACCGGACGTGATGCCATACACTCACAATGTCGACTAATACTTCGACTGTTTGATTGAATGATCGAAAAGTCGATTTCCATGAAGAAATGTTCGGAGCAGAATAGAAATATGATCTTGTTTCGAATGTAATGTTCATGAAAACTTATCTCGGACATCTTCTTATTCCATTAATCTGTCTGACAGATGTTGAAATCCTAAGTGAATTGCCCTGGACGAATATAGAGTTATTGTGAGTACAGGATCTCAAATGATGAAATATCTGCTATAGTTCACATTGCTTCTGGAATATCCTGGAAAAAACTTGGATTAGTATTGTGCATCTCTGATTGCGCAATATATTATTCATTGAGATAAAAATACGAAACTTATCTTGAAACTCTCCATATTCCGTTGGACTGTCTGACAGATGTTGAGCTCCTAAATGATGTGTCACAAACAAATATAGAGTTCTTGTGAGTATTATAGTTCTGAAATGCTGGGATATCTGCCATAGTTTACATTACTTCTGGAATATCGTAAAAAAATCAGATTAGTATTATGCTTCTCTGATTGCGCAATATATTATTCATTGAAATAGAAATATGAAACTTATCTTGGAAATCTCCATATTCCGTTGAACTGTCTGACAGCTGTTGAGCTCCTGAATGATGTGTCACAAACGAATATAGAGTTTTTGTGAGAACTGGTTCTGAAATGCTGGGATATCTGCCATAGTTCACATTGCTTCTGGAATATCCTGAAAAAAAAATCAGATAAGTATTATGGTTCTCTAATTACGCAATATATTATTCATTGAAATTCACATTTTCCAAGAAAACATGGTCCACTTCATAGAGCACAGCTTCATTCAAATAACGACTATAAGTTTGCTAATGTGCACAAATAATTTGGAAGAAACTGGTATAAAACCACTGTTTATACCTAACTCTTGAAGGCGACACCCTCCTTTGTAGAGAGGCATTACGAACGCCAAAGTTGATACACTCCCCTCGTAAGGGTACCGGACGTGATTCCATACACTCACAATGTCGACTAATGTTTCGACTGTTTGATTGAATGATCGAAAAGTCGTTTTTTATGAAGAAATGTTCGGAGCAGAATAGAAATATGATTTTCATTTGAATGAAATGTTCATGAAAACTTATCTCGGACATCTCCTCATTCCATTAATCTGTCTGACAGATGTTGGAATTCTAAGTGCGCATTGTCCTGATCGATTATAGAGTTATTGTGAGTACAGGATCTCAAATGATGAAATATCTGCTATAGTTCACATTGCTTCTGGAATATCCTGGAAAAAACTTGGATAGTATTATGCATCTCTGATTGCCCAATATATTATTCATTGAAATGAAAATACGAAACTTATCTTGAAACTCTCCATATTCCGTTGGACTGTCTGACAGATGTTGAGCTCCTAAATGATGTGTCACAAACAAATATAGAGTTCTTGTGAGTATTATAGTTCTGAAATGCTGGGATATCTGCCATAGTTTACATTACTTCTGGAATATCCTAAAAAAACTCAGATTAGTATTATGCTTCTCTGATTGCGCAATATATTATTCATTGAAATAGAAATATGAAACTTATCTTGGAAATCTCCATATTCCGTTGAACTGTCTGACAGCTGTTGAGCTCCTGAATGATGTGTCACAAACAAATATAGAGTTTTTGTGAGAACTGGTTCTGAAATGCTGGGATATCTGCCATAGTTTACATTGCTTTTAGAATATCCTAAAAAAAAATTAGATTAGTATTATGGTTCTCTAATTACGCAATATATTATTCATTAAAATTCACATTTCTCAAGAAAACATGGTCCACTTCATAGAGCACAGCTTCATTCAAATAACGACTATGAGTTTGCTAATGTGCACAAATAATTTGGAAGAAACTGGTATAAAACCACTGTTTATACCTAACTCTTGAAGGCGACACCCTCCTTTGTAGAGAGGCATTACGAACGCCAAAGTTGATACACTCCCCTCGTAAGGGTACCGGACGTGATTCCATACACTCACAAT